CAGGTTAGCTCGTTCGCTACGTTAACTCGCCTCCAGGTTGAAGTTCGTTCGCTACGCTCACTCACCTTTTGGTTGCAAATTAGCTGTTGTCATAAATTAAAAAAATAATAATAGTGCTGCACCCTGTTGGCAATCCTTGTAACTTTAAAGCTATTGAACATCATAGAACAGAACCAACTTGTTTAATTGAAACAGCTGATAAGATTCATTAATTCCTTTTAAATATGAAAAATCATAAGGTTAACATGGGAAACTCCAGAGCCACTGGGGCGGAGCCCGAGAGTCCGATCAGAATAAAAACAACTTAGTTTTCCTCTTTAATGCCTAAAGAATCGGTGTACCAAATTTCAGCCTCCTAGGTAAATGGGAAGTGGGAGAATTAGTGATGAGTGAGTGAGTGAGTGTGTCAGTGAGGGCTTTGCCTTTTATATATTTAGATATATATTGTACGGGTGTTTCCAAATTGTCTTTACTGCTCTGTAAAATAATAATAAACAATATGGAAGTACTTTTAAATTGCGTAACCGAATGTAAGAAAAAACCTATAACTCAGTTGTTTGTCATCCAATTTTAACAAACAAGGGCTCATTTGATTCGGATTTAAATTATCTATCTTTGTTATCTGTAAAACAAGATTCTCAATATTTATGGTATTCATGAAATTTTGCATTGAAATTCATAAAATGGCTTGAGATATTGGAACGAAACTTTGTAAGCTGTTTTTTTTCGTACTAAAATACACATTTATACCAATTTTGAAATGTTCACCATGAAAAATGTCCAAAATATAAAATAATTCTTAAAAATCACAAACAGACTGACAAACAGAAATCTAGGCATTTCAGACCCATACTTATATGGCATTTTATTTTTGTCTTAGCACAAGGAACAAGTTATCAAAATATGTCCAGACAATTTGGAAACACCCTGTATATAAGTAAATATAAGTAATAAAATAATAAGTTTAACTTACCAGAATGTATAGCCCAGGTCTTAGCGTAGGGTGTGGGGAAAAAAACATTTTCAATCCTTTCACTTTTGCCCGGCTGTTTATACATTTTCGGAAAGCGCACAGATTACCCGACATAACTGATTAATTTCAATATTAGGTCTACAGTATTAAAAAAAAAAACTACATACTAACTACATTGTATTGCTAAACTTTGTCTAAAATATGCTTAAATTAATCACTAAATGAAAAACAGTGCCCGCAGGCAGATATATGCACAGACAGTCGTAGCGCGCAAGTACCGCGCGAGGTGCGGGGGGAAGAATAACAATGAGTTGGCGTTGAACTGTTGGAATTGCAACCGGCGACGGCGACTGGCTTGTGGCGAGACTGCGTGTTTTCTCGATTCTCCGCTAGGGGCAGGATGTGACGGGGCTCTAGGTATCGCCCAGTAATACGTCTGTCAGGCCCTACAATAAAATACTCTGAAAGAATTCAATTTAAGCAGTTTTCAGTCAGACTTTTGGTTCAAAATATCCCAATCTTCTGAGTAGACTCAGTACTTGTTCTCAGTTTAAAAGTCCACCTGGTGGGAGGAGAGTTGCCACACCTTCCCAAAACAGAAGAAGAATTTCATCATTCATTTTCAGTCATTCATTTTCTAACGGGTTTTCGCGATTATCTGAGAAAATTTGAATTTGCTCGAAAAACCTATATCAGGCAAAATTGTAGCTTATAAAAGTTAAAACAAAACCGTGTGTTTATAACATACGCAGATCCAAAACGGAATTATAGATTAACTGTAATAAAGGGGCACGAGGTCCTAAGTTCGCCTCAATAAAGAAGGTTTTTTATTTCATTTCAATTATTACATGAACGAGCAATAAAAACGAATGAAAGTTTCGGAGAAAACTCAAAACAGCCTACTCCTTACCGTGTCATGCGTCAGTACAAACCTTCCATCCCGTCTCCCACAAACCACTACAGTCACAATAAGTGAAGAATGGCAGCACCCTTCTAGTGTTTCCCACCGCACAGGACGCCGACGCCACACTCTTCACCACAAACATCCCCCACGGTCTTAGGCACACAGGCAAAGTACCTTGAAACCACAACTAAAACCATTCAACCCTTAGCTACCCTCAACCACAAAACACCCCGAACCCAGACCCTCTCTCATGCACGTATTTGTGTATAGTGTATCCATCGAGGTTACCGAAGGCGAATCTTTAAAGCCTTAGCCTTTTAATGGGCACGATTTCTCTTTCCTCGTGTTTTTTATGAGTTTTAAAATAGCTTTTGATTTTCAGTATGGTTTTCTTCCATCTTTCTACCAAAGTCCTCCCACGATTCTTCCTTAGCAGCCTTAACGGGGCCATTTGCAATTTACCTTTGTTCCTTTTATTCTTCGTATTGTTTAATTTTCTCTGTACTCAAGTATTTCTTCCATAAAACCTTTTTCTTTTTGATTTCATCTTTGATTTCATCATTCCACCAACTAGTCGTTTTCATAAAGGTGCCCACTCTTGATTCTACACAATTTCTTTTTTCTGTGTCTGTAAGCACAGTTTTAAATGCCATCCACTTTACCTGAAAACTCTTAGGCCTACCAACTTCTTCTTGCCTCAATGGTAATGTCTTTTCCTCTAAAGCGTCCCTAAACTGTAATTTTTTCTCTTCTTGTCTAAGCTTATAGATATTAACTTCAAACTCCATTGTTATTCCTTTCTTGTTATTCTTCTTTTCTTCTCTAATTTCTTTTCGCATTTTCAGAAGGGAGTGGTCGCTTCCTATAATCAAATCAAATCAAATCAAATCGTTTATTAAGCCAGAATTAACAAAATATTATACAATTTGTATTGGCTAAGTCATCATTACAACTATTTACAGAGGTCTTATGCAGTACTAAAAGCTATACAGTTCTATATACATAATATCGTTTTTATAACCTTGGTGTAGAATAAATTGGTATCTTTTTAATTCTTAGGAATTTTCTAGGCATATGCCTATAACAAAGCTTTAATATACGAAATTATTTATTTTTTAAGCACTACATAATGGTTTAAAAAGACTGAAATAATTTTGTGTTTCAAGGGTCAAAAATTGGAAAACCAACTTTCCTATGGCCCGATTTTGCTGGTTCGCGAGCTGGTTCGAATGAATGTGGGTTTACAAGTTTGTGCGAAATTTCACCAAAAATGGATGAGTTTTGTTCAAATTATAATGCTATCGGACGGTTATAGTTGTAATGCTAAAGTCCCGAGACGGTTAAATATTCCAAATACCCCCGCCACAGCAAACCTGCCGACTAAGCTAATTTTCATCTGCCTGATTTAATTTTCAATTAAATATATTTAAATAATATTAGGTTTAACGAGTACCTAGGTTTGATGCTGCAGGGAAACTAATAAAGTATGTCTTTTTAGTGAAATAAATGAGCCTTGAGCTTAGTATAAAATAAATAAATTTACCAAGTTTGGTCAACATAATAAATCAATAAACAAGCAAACTACAACAGTTAACAATATTCTCCACAAGAATAACATGGGAATTTCAAATTTACAATTATTTGTATTTTCTCCATTACTAATAACCGAACAAAACACTTAGATAAACTAAATCATTTGTTTTTAAGCTCTTTAAAAAGATTCAAAGACAAATTGGGAAATTTTGTGTTTTAGGGTAAAAAATGAGAAAATCCAATTTTTATCCCATAAGATCCCCGTAAAACCCCGTTCCCATGGTCCGATCATGCTGGTTTGCGAAGTCATTAAAGTTTATACCACCTTATAGAAACCGAATTTCATCAATATCGAACAAAGATTACTCAAGCTATACATACATATACATTTTAACGAATGGTGTTTTTGGCCTCTGGGCACATAAAATAAAAAAGTAATTCGGTCCTAAGCCTAGGTCTTACCATGCCACCTACGGTAATAGCTACTTACCTTAGGGAAATTCGCTAAAAGCAATACATATAGAGATTCAAAACTCGGTACACAGTTACTGGGCATTAATATAATTTTAACAAATGATTCAGTGATACACTTCCTCCTCAGGGGGACGGCCCCCTAGGAGTCAGAAGAAAATCTTAAAAGTAAGCATAGGTTGATACGCTCATCAAATTAAATGCCTTTACTAGTAGAATACAATGCCGCAAATTTGGACTCAAGCGGACGACCGAGTCCAAAATGAAACCAGGCGGTCATGTGCGTGTGTGTCCGTTAGCGCAATAAATCGAGCGAAATGATCCGATTTTTATGAAATTTGGTGCAAACGTGTGTACGTGTGTACATCCATTCGAACGGGTTTGCAAATCAGTATGATCGAACTATAGGGACGGGGGTTTATGGGGTGTTTTATGTCGTAAAAATTGATTTTTCTCATTTTTGGCCCTCAAAACATAAGATTTCCTGATTTCAGTGATTTCTCCCCAAACTATTTAGAAGAGCTTAAAAACAAATAATTTAGCACATTGAAGAGTTATTGTACAGTTTTTGGTTAGGGAAATTTGTAAAATATAAAATTTAAAATTTCATGTTATGTTATGGGGGGATAAGTAAACTGTTATGTGTATGCATATGTATGTGTAGATATAAGAATTTTAACTAATGGTGTTTTTGGCCTCTGGGGACATCAAAATAAAAAAATGAATCGGTCCCGGGTCCAGGTCTTACCATGAGACCTACGGTAATAGGTTATTCCAAATGGGTAATTCGCTAAAACCAACCATCCTTACCCTAACCAGCGGCTGCAGCATAATTTCAATTTGTTATATACACGTATCTGCCACAGCTGCGATCCTTTCCTTGGCTGAAGAGAACATAGTCCTAAAACAGTCTAGTAGGCTTTAGTTCAGTGGTGTTTCAGCTCTCGGGTCTGGAGCATCGCGAAGAAGATCCCAGAATCTGGCTGCCTAATTATTAGAAGGTTCAATTAGTTTATATTATATACCCCTGTCAGAAACAATGTTGTTTCGTTCAGATTTAATAACTGAAGGACTAGATATTGTACTTATCTAAATAAAAATAGATTATGAATGTTACAGGCTGAAGCTGCGAAGGGGTTTGCACGTCATGGTGTTCCAAACGGAGTGTACCTAATTGTGGACCTTGTCAACTTTTCTGGCGAAATCAAAAACGAATTGCCATCGAAGGATACATTGTCTTTCGAATGGAAAAGAAAGGTAAACCTGGGGCTTCGTTAACTGTAAATATTATAATGATAATGTTATGTAAACGTAATTAGTAGCTGAACAAAGATGCTATGGAATCCGCCTTATTTTTACGTAAATTGAATCTTTTAAATTTTTGTTTAGTGGCTACATGATATGAATCTTTCACTTGCCATTTAAGTCAATTTAGTTCCAAGAGAAGTGTATATTTCCCTGCCCTTATTAAATGAGCTGGGCTTATGCATCCAATCCTTGGGCTCAGCTCTGAAGTTAGGTATCATTTGTTCATAAGATGCATAAATTATAAATACTAAGTACATTCCAGTCTTATGGACAAACTAAACCACTAATACTGGTTGCTTTCATTTGGGGTTTCGTGGTATCTACTTTTAGTTTAAACAACGGCTCAAACTATATTTAATTTCTTAGTTCTGCATTTCATCCTAACCTCAAGTCAGTCAAGCATTGAAGCCCAACATACAGTCTTATTGCCGCCAGTTCCTTTAGTAAATAGCAGGCAGATGGAACTTAAAACTTGTTGGTGTATACTAATGCCATTAAAATCGGATATACTCGAATTATCGTACTAACCGGCTTATATATATACACGTATATATATATATATATATATATATTCAGCGTGCCACACAAATTTAATCAACCTAAACTTTATATTTTATACTGAATTTTGTTAGATAAAATAATATATATTTTTCTTTAACAATTAGATGAAAAGATAAATGATTGTACAAATCTAGCCATTGAACCACCCCCCCCCTTCCACACCACCTATGGTTTCATTGTCTTCTCTCAAAGTTGTAGGACAAGTATACCATAATATATGATAATTCGCAACTGTAACTGGTGGATTTCAGAGGTGGTAGATTTATGTTTTCAGTTTAAAAGTGCAACCGATCGAAGGGCGGGTGTGACATATAGTCTGTATAAAAATTATTAAATTTGTACGTAGAAAAATAACACTATTCCGTAGTGGATAATCCAAATAACCTTAAAAAACTGCTACTATTAAAATAATTTCGATAAGCATTAGTTGTATCAATTTTGTTCTAAGCTATTACTGTCAAATATTTGGCTCTAATAATGATTGATACTTATTTTACAGTACACATTTGAACGTATTGCTGACAAAGTAAGTATATAGTAATTTTATCAACTAGTAAGTTATGTTTATATAAGCCTGACAATTTTTTGTCTGGCCAACGGCTTAGTTTATATTCTGTGATACTATCTATACTTATAAAAGGTAAATACCACATTAGACTGAGTGTGTTTTACCTATGATACCATAACAGAGCAGAGAATAATACCCCCGCCACAGGAAACCTGCAGACTAAGCGAATTCCCATTTGCCTGATTGGATTTACAGTCAAATGTGTCCTTAAAAATATCACATTTATTCACTATTTAGCATTAGTTTAATGAGTACTTTAGTTTGCTGCAACAGGGAGGGTAGTTTAGTATGATATGAATGTATTTTCAAATTTTTATCAAAATATGCTCATAAACAAGCAAACTACAACAGTTTACAATTTTCTCCATAAGAATAACATGGGAATTTTAAATTTACAATTTTCTCCATTGGGCGAATAATAACACTTCAATATACTAAATATTTTTTTTTTAGCTCTACACAATTGTTTGGGAAGAAGTTGTAAAATTTTATGTTTTTAGGGTAACAAATGGGAAAACCCAATTTTTACCCCATAAAACCCTCCATAAGCCAATTTTCCCATAGTCTGATCATGCTGGTTTGCGAACCCGTTTGAAAGGTTTACACGTTTGTATCAAATTTCATCAAAATCAGACAATTTTTGCTCGAGTTTTTGCGCTAACGGACACATATATAAATATGTAAAGGGACCTCAAAACAAAAAAGTAAATCGGTCCCGAGTCCTGGTCTTACCATGAATACTACGGTAATAGCTTATTCCTTATATGGGAAATTCGCTAAAAGTGGATACCACTCACTCGCTGATCACTATATCTCAAAAACTACAAACCAAAAGACTGAGGAATTGGAATGGAGGTCCTACTTAAGCTCTAGGTGTGCAATAAGAGGCGTATTCTGTCCCAGTGGCCGGTTCCTATGTTATCCTCATGTAGAAGCAATCTTTTTACAATTTCACGGATAATTCCTTTTGAGTTTTTCTAATTAATACAAACCTTTGTTGTAAGGTTTGCATTCATTGTTTTTCCCCTTTTTTACTAAGTGGGGAATAGTTGGCTGTATTAAATTTGGTTATGCAAAATATTTGCATTATTTTATAGCTTGTAAATAATTGGTGTTTTTTAATTTGTTCACAGTATTTGGGCGGTTTGAGGGGAAGTTTCCCCACCACTTATTTTTTACTTAATGTAGCCTATGTTGTTTTATTTGCTGTTGAGCTATTATTTTAAAGGTAAAGATCAAGTGAAAGTAATAGATTTCTTTCCCTAAAACTGCCTAAATATTGTAAACGAGGTATAGTGCATAACATTTCTTGTAATCGTTAAATGAATACAAAAACAGATGTGTGCACTATTTTTTTGTGATTTTTAAGATCTGTTTTTCTATGCAGGTAAATAACAGCATGTTGTTTAATTTGAATATCGATGTCAACGTTCAAATTATATGCAATCGAGTTTCGTCTAATATTTCAAGGGATGGTATCTGTCATTTTATATCACTGCTTTATGATTATTTATAATATAGTGCTGAAGGGAGAAGATCAGAAGCTCTTGAAAAGTACAATATCTGCCATACCTTCATATAGTCTATTTTAATAACGATATTACAATCATAGAATTGATTATGAGTATGTTGCTTTATAATCCAAGTTCACGTTTATGGCGGATTATGTAAAATATTACCGGTTAAAGTGAATTAAAAAAGTTCTTTATGTTCCTTGTAGAGAAGTATATGCATGAGAAGGAGTTTTGATCATGTCTTTTACGAGAGATTTGAGAAAGGCCACTTTTATATGTGTACATTTCTCCAGGTGAAAAAACCCCGTAGATACTGTAGACCTGCCAGCAACTATCAGTATAGTAATCCCGCATCGATATTAACCTAAGTTACTTGGAACACCGCCCCGCAGGCTTTCAAAGTTCTGAGGCAAAGCTTTTTTTAAGCAAACTAGTGGCTTGTAGTGGTAGAAGCTCTTAAAACCTCAAATATAAAATACATTATTGTTATAATTTCAATAAAGCAAACTAAGAAACAAATAATCTATGTTTCATAATACACGTGTATAATGTTTTTAGCGAATTTCCCATATAGGAATAAGCTATTACCGTAGCTCTCATGGTAAGACCTAGACCTGGGACCGATTTACTTTTTAGTTTAGAGGTCCCCAGAGTCCAAAAATACTATTAAAATCCATGTTTTAGCCTCTGAGCTGTGTAATAACTAAAATAGGCTTTACCTTCGTCACTGCAGCTCAAATACTGGTGGTGTAACTACGTTACGGCCGTTTCGGCATTACAATGCTATCGTCAGACTACAAAAACTCGGCTGAAGTAGCGTCGTTGAAGCTTAAACACATAACACACACGAACAATACGAAACATTTAAAATATTTACAAAAACAGTTCAGGCCTTTCGTACTAAAGGTTGGCATGTTCCTGTTCGGAACGGGAACATGTCAACCGTTATATATTGTAAAGCTTAAAAAAGAAATAATTTGGTGTAATGGAGCGTTGTTGTATGCCTAACGGTTACGGAGATATTTCAAAAAGTTTTAATTTAAAATTCCCATGTTATTCTTTTGGAGAATAAAACTGTTGTAGTTTGCTTGTTTATTGATATATATTAACCAATTTTTTCCATTTTATTTATTTCTTACTAAGCTATCAATATTTCAATAAAAAAAACACGCCTCAATACATTCCCTGTAGCAGCAAACCCAAGTACTCATTAACATTAATGTTATTTAAATAGAAAATGAATCTGACAATTTTAAGGGAATATTTAAGTAGAAATCCAGCCAGGTAAATGGAATTTCACTTAGTCTGCCGGTTTGCTGCAGCGGGGGTATTATGTTGGATTATTTTCTTTGATTTTCTTAATTTTAGCGAATTTCCCATATAGGGAAAAAGCTATTACCATTGTACTCATGGTAAGACCTGGACCCGTGACCGATTTATTTTTTCGTTTTGAGGTCCCCATAGGTCAAAAACACCCTCCGTTCAAATTCATATATATATATATGTATATATATATGTATCTATTTATGTGTCCGTTAGCGCGATAACTTGAGCAAAAATGATCCGGTTTTGATGACATTTGGTAGAAACGTGTAAACCTACGTTTATTCGAACGAGTTTGCGAACATGAGCATTAACGGACTATGAGAACGGGGGTTTAGGGGGGGTTTTTATGGGGTAAAAATCTGTTTTTCCCATTTTTGACTCTAAAACATAAGATTTCACAATTTCCTTCCAGACCATTTTGAAGAGCTTAAAAAAGAAATAATTTTGTATATTGAAGCGTTGTTGTATGCCTAACGGTTACGGAGATATTTCAAAAAATTTTAATTTAAAATTCCCATGTTATTCTTTTGGAGAATAAAACTGTTGTAGTTTGCTTGTTTATTGATATATATTAACCAATTTTTTCCATTTTATTTATTTCTTACTAAGCTATCAATATTTCAATAAAAAAACACGCCTCAATACATTCCCTGTAGCAGCAAACCCAAGTACTCATTAACATTAATGTTATTTAAATAGAAAATGAATCTGACAATTTTAAGGGAATATTTAAGTAGAAATCCAGCCAGGTAAATGGAATTTCACTTAGTCTGCAGGTTTGCTGCAGCGGGGGTATTATGTTGGATTATTTTCTTTGATTTTCTTAATTTTAGCGAATTTCCCATATAGGGAAAAAGCTATTACCATTGTACTCATGGTAAGACCTGGACCCGTGACCGATTTATTTTTTCGTTTTGAGGTCCCCATAGGTCAAAAACACCCTCCGTTCAAATTCATATATATATATATATGTATATATATATGTATCTATTTATGTGTCCGTTAGCGCGATAACTTGAGCAAAAATGATCCGGTTTTGATGACATTTGGTAGAAACGTGTAAACCTACGTTTATTCGAACGAGTTTGCGAACATGAGCATGAACGGACTATGAGAACGGGGGTTTAGGGGGGGTTTTTATGGGGTAAAAATCTGTTTTTCCCATTTTTGACTCTAAAACATAAGATTTCACAATTTCCTTCCAGACCATTTTGAAGAGCTTAAAAAAGAAATAATTTTGTATATTGAAGCGTTGTTGTATGCCTAACGGTTACGGAGATATTTCAAAAAATTTTAATTTAAAATTCCCATGTTATTCTTTTGGAGAATAAAACTGTTGTAGTTTGCTTGTTTATTGATATATATTAACCAATTTTTTCCATTTTATTTATTTCTTACTAAGCTATCAATATTTCAATAAAAAAAACACGCCTCAATACATTCCCTGTAGCAGCAAACCCAAGTACTCATTAACATTAATGTTATTTAAATAGAAAATGAATCTGACAATTTTAAGGGAATATTTAAGTAGAAATCCAGCCAGGTAAATGGAATTTCACTTAGTCTGCAGGTTTGCTGCAGCGGGGGTATTATGTTGGATTATTTTCTTTGATTTTCTTAATTTTAGCGAATTTCCCATATAGGGAAAAAGCTATTACCATTGTACTCATGGTAAGACCTGGACCCGTGACCGATTTATTTTTTCGTTTTGAGGTCCCCATAGGTCAAAAACACCCTCCGTTCAAATTCATATATATATATATGTATCTATTTATGTGTCCGTTAGCGCGATAACTTGAGCAAAAATGATCCGGTTTTGATGACATTTGGTAGAAACGTGTAAACCTACGTTTATTCGAACGAGTTTGCGAACATGAGCATGAACGGACTATGAGAACGGGGGTTTAGGGGGGGTTTTTATGGGGTAAAAATCTGTTTTTCCCATTTTTGACTCTAAAACATAAGATTTCACAATTTCCTTCCAGACCATTTTGAAGAGCTTAAAAAAGAAATAATTTTGTATATTGAAGCTTTGTTGTATGCCTAACGATTACGGAGATAATTAAAACAACTTTAAATTTTAAATTCCCATGTTATTCTTATGGAGAATAAATTTGC